TGATCTGTCTACCACACTGGCGGGCCACTGGGCCTGTTCTCCAGGTTGCAGGACTGCCTACCTTGCAGGTGCAGGTGGCCGCTGTGCCCCTCCTCCAATTGGGGTGATCTATCAACTAGGCCGATAGGCCGCTGGGCCCCTTCTCCGGGTCGCGTGGTCTGCCTACCTTGCGGGCGGCACCTGGGCCCTTCCTCCAATTGGGGTGATGTGTCTACCACGCTGGCAGGCCGCTGGGCCTGTTCTGCCAGTCAGTCGCAGGTCTGCCTACCTTGCAGGTGCGGGAGGCAGCTCTTCCCCTCCTCCTATTGGGGTCATGTGTCTACCATGCTGGCGGGCCGCTGGGCCTGTCTATGTGGGAGTTTTAAATAATAAGTGGAGAAGATTAAATGGTGCTATAAAGTTAGAACCTCTCATGGATGCAAGTTCAGTATACACAGTATAACTATAATACTTTGAAGAAATCACAGGACACCCTCTTATATTAGGATTGAGAATGTTCTTGTAAGAAATGAAATCTAATCTGGTGCATTTGTTCGTGCCTATAATTTCACCTACTCAGGAGGCTGAGGAAGAGGATCACAAGTTTGAGGCCAGTTAGTGAGACCCTGTCCCCTCCTTCACCAAAATGGGATGTGGGAGCTCAGTAGTAGAGTGTCCCTGGGTTCAATTCCAAGTACAGCAAAAGAAACAAAAAAAATGGACATSCATGAAGAAAAATCTACATATATTTGGCTACTTTAAAATAACTTCTGTTTGCCCAGGGCCAATATATTTAAGATGGGATAAACAATTGGCAAATAGTGCAAACAAATGTAATGGTAGATACAATGGAAGTTTTTAAAAATTTATTTTTTATTGGAAATGCACAATTTATGTGTTACGGTGTCATAATTCAATATATGTGTACAATGTGTCACATATATTGGCCCCAAACTTGTGATCCTCCTGCTTCAACCTCCCAAGTTACTGGGATTACAGGCATGTGCCACAGAGTTGAGCTACTAAAAACTTGTTGATAAATTTAGAATGCATGAATACTGATTTCACATGATAAGTACAGATCTACAGCAATATGAAGTCAAAATTAATCATTAAAGACAGAAGCAAAACCAGGATATGAATTTTACTACTTTTTTGGTAGTTATTAGCCATGTGAAAATTAACTACGAGAGAGGTTAAGCATATCGAATTGGAAAGGARTATGTTTCATTTGTATTGTTCATTCTGTCCTCTTTGTTTTTTTTTTTTTTTTTAGGTTTAAATTTCCTCTTTATTGTCCCATTTTTCTTTTGACTTCCAATATTTTTCTTTTGGAGAAAGATTAAATTATTATTTTTTAAAAAGAGTCCAGCCATTACATGTAAAAAAAAAAAAATTATTTTTACACAATATAGTATGTGAATTCCAGCTCTCTTGGCTGTTATTGCGTCTTGTGGGTTTTCTTTATTTAATAAAGAATTATTAAATTCTTTATTAAACAAAGAAAAAATAAGAATTCCCCTCATATCCACTTCCATTTTTTAAATAAAGTAGATGGTGTATAAGTGTTCATACAAGTATTAATTCCAGATTGGTTACTATTGATTAACATAATAGAGATTCAAACTACTAAGCAGTTATTTGCACTGCTTTTTATACTTAGAAACTGGGAAAAGAATTATAGCTTTGATTTATTTAACATAAAATAATTTAAAAAAACATGGTGGAGTTTTTCCATGTAAATACCTCTACACATCGTTGAGAGGTTTAGTACAAATGACTGTGTTGGGAGTAGTTTCTAAGTCCTATTCATACTCTGACTATGAGAGCTTCATTTAAGAAAGTTGTGTATAACTAAAATTAGATCACTGACACCAAATTCCCTTACTAAAAATAAAATTTTTAGTAGATATATAAATGAAGGTAACTATAATTTTCTTATAAGAACTGGTTCCACATAGAAATGATTTTCATTTTAACTGACTTTTTCTAACTCCACTGTAACTATAGAAAACAAATTCATATATAGAAAACATATGCACTGTTTAATACAGCGTAATAATATATGTAGATTTTGAAATGTCCTCTTAATAGTATATTTTAAATATTTCAGCATGTCATTATTTTAGGAGCTTTCTGTGGAGTAGGTATGTCTTTCTGTCTTCTCTCCAGACATCTTTTTCCCTAACTCCTTTCCTTCCTGAATTCCTTCCCTTATTCCTCATGCTCATGGGAGAAAAGTGAAGCACACTGTTATCATTACATGGTTGGATCTGCTGTGGGAAATATATAGTCAAAAATAAATGAGATTTTTGCCTTCCATTTAATAATAGATGTTGATAATTAAGCTGCCTCTTTGGTTATACATCTGTCTACTGGATTTTAAAATGTTCCTACTCAGGGCAATTTGCCAAGCTATATTAGTGAWTTTTTCTGGACTATAAAGGAAAATTATAGAGAGTGTAATGTAAAGCTAGGCTATGTTCTCCAACAGGAAAGCTAGTAGCCACATGTGAATATTTCAATTTTAATTAATCCAAATGACATAAAATTAAAAATTCAGTTTCCCAAGTACACTAGTCCCAGTTCAAGTGATCAATAGCCATGTGGTTCGTAGCTACCCAAGTTGCACAAGTAGCTATAGAGCATTTCAGCCTCACAACAAGTTTTGTTGGCCAGCCTTGAATGGTATCTATAGGTGATACCTGTTTGTTTTATTTATCTTATTAGAATTTTAAAATGATTTTTCCCTGGATATTATAAATACTAATACTAATTTTTCGAAACAAGGAATAGCTCAAAATTATTCATGAGTATATACTTTTTTTAACTTTCCTCCCAACTTAATTTTTAATATTTTAAGACTAGTGAAATAAAACATGTATCAACCTGGGATTGCCAGCATTTTGCAATTCTCAAAGAACATTTAGAAAATTCTTGATAATAGTACAAAGTCCAGGGATGGGGACGTGAGGGTGTGGGCTATTATCTTACTTGGTGCTTACCCAGAAGATGATGGAGGAGGAACTGTTTGTTTTTATAAGACACTCAAAAGAAACAGAGTCAGTTTCTTTTGGGAATATAATTTTAAGGTATAATTACAGTATTAATCCAGGAAAAGTGGGAACCATCAGAAAGAAGAGATAAGGGAGAAGGATGGAGAGGAGCCAGCATGATCCTTTTAGTTGTTGGGGACCTTCACTATTCCTTGCCATCTCTCTCCTGAGTCCTTTCCATGCCCTGTGTACAGGTCACGTTCACTCAGCACTGAAAGCAGCCAGTGAGGAACACAGGCTCTCGACATGTTAGTCTGAGAGGCAGTTAAGTGGGTGATTAAGAACTCTGACAGGGAGCCAGATGGCTGGATCTTGAGAGTCCAGTTCTAGCTTTTACTGTCTGTGAGAGTGTAGCGAGTTATTTAACTCTGTTTATCTGTAAAGTGAGACAATCTTACTATCTTCCTCTTCATATGATGGTTAAGGAATGAAGATATAAACTCATTAAAGACTATATTGTTAGTATTGCTAACAACTGTTACATAGGTAATATGGCACATGGTAAGTGACCAATAAGTATAYGCTTCTATATTTATTATATCAGGGAAGAAGATATTTAAACAAGTAATTGCAGTAAAGCTGGATGAGTTTTATAGTAGGCTAAGTTCAGTGTTCCATGATCGTATATGTCGAGGTGACCTAATTCTTGACAATTATTTAACCAAATTTAGCTTAGATTTTAGTTTGGCTGTTTTTTCTTTCAAACTATACTTTCATAGTTTCTTAAATCAGATTTTATTCTTTTTATGGTTTGCGTTCTTTAAAATTTGTTTATTACCCCAATGTGATAAATGTTTGAAGGCTCCAAGATATTAAGTAAAAATGTTGTCCTGATCATTCTGGTAATATCATAACTGTCACAGTTCTTTCCCGGATGCTTTACATTATATACCAGGTTGCCAAAAACATAATAGAATCCTCTCTTAGTAATAGCCTCTGGCTAATCAAAATAAAATCTGTCTTCCAGACTTTTACAGGGGAGTTTGGTTAGCTTCGAGTATAATTAAAGAGTATATTATTTGATACCTATTAAAGACAGGAAATTGTGAGGTGCAACTGGTTTTCATATATTGTGGGACAGTTTTCTTTAACTACATATAGAAGCTGCTRAAGTGAGTTTTCAAGTAAAAAATATGAAGTACACCTATGTAAGAGCTGAAATAGATTAAACTTAAGTACCAACAGGACACCTTTATCGAAGCATCATTTACTTCTCACTTTCTAGTATGAGATTTTCTTAAGGAACTCAGTTTGCCTCATGTAGCATTAAAATMTTTCTTGGGTCACAATGATAGGAAATGAAGGGCTAAATTCCTTTTAATTAACATAAGTTACATGTTTTGTAATATGGAGAAGGTTATTTAAACTAACTAGTTGTGAGAAATGTCTCTAGTTATGAGGAATCTCTTTGTTTCATTGAAATCTGAATTTGGGGTAAATGTTAGGGAGTTTCAAAAATAAATGAGCAATAGGTAACAGGAACAGAGTGCTTGGTAAGGTGTTTCTGGACTTGATATCCAGGTATGCACCACACCAATTGCTGCTTCTTGGTGGCTCCCATGTGCCAACCTGTCATAGTGTCACTGCTACTTATTGCTTTGTTTTACTTATGTTTTAAGAAAAATAAACTACAAATAATATGTGAGGTATCCAAGCTATATATTTTAGAAATTATAGAGCTTTAGAAACGTGACATGTTTATTCAGGAGGAAAAGCTAAGGTTTAGTTTCTATGTGGGTCGGTCCTATTTAATGACAATGCTTTTCTATTTCACTCCAAATAGTAAATATTGGATCATAGTAATAGATGAATTTTATATACATATGTGCCACCTATAGGTTTATTTTAACACATGGCTGTAGAAAAAGTCCAAGGAATCCAATTCTATTTACGGTTATAAAAATATTTAAATATCTATGATTGTTTGCTAGCAGGTAAGCTCACATTTGTTTGATTTTCTTCCAGATTCATGAAAAACTTCACTACTATGAGAAGCAGAGCCCGGTGCCCATTCTACATTCTGCGGCAGCCTTGGCCAATGACGTAAGTGTGCCTTTCTGAGCTCACAGGACGTGTCTGCCGCAGGCCTGGTAGAGGTGGAACTCATCCTAGTGCAGACAGATGTGTGTGATCCTACGAGTGAAAACCAGAAGAAGTTGCAAATGTTTCCAAAAGCCCTGTCATCACTGAGCTTATGCTGATATTATGTTGATTTTCATTCACTTTCCTGTTTTAAAAATTGTGCATGCACCTACCCCTGTGTTCTGCCTTGGTAACGACGTAATAGAAATTTTAGGCTTCAAAAAAACTTTATGGAGAGAAAGAAGCTGTCAGGCATTGGTGTTCTGAGAAAGTCACAGACAAGGGGAAAGCTTTGGAGAAATAAAGACAAATGAGATAGTTATATTGCTGACAGTACTAAAAAAATGACAGGTACTAGGATAGGAATGAGGCATATGAAATACATAAAAAGACAGAATTGTTTTTAAAATGGATTATAAAGCACAGTGATGATTTATGGATATTGGACCTTTCCAAATTACCTTCATAACCAAAAAATAAATTTTAGAAGCAGTTGGCATTGATGGAGTAGTTAATTTCCTGTAGCTATAATTTTATTTTAAGCCTGGGGGAGGGGAACCTAACTTGCTGATTCCTACTGTTAACTTTCGGATTCGGATGAATTGAGAGCACACCTGGATAAACTATAAAGGACACTCAGCTAGACGAGAAATGTGTTTAGTGTGTGGTAGTGATATCCTGTAACTTATTTGTTGCTCTTAAATTTTTTCCTGTATCACCATAAGGCAAACTGTAATTCAGTTTAGTAAAATGCCAGGACCATAATATGGTAAGAAAAAAAGAATCAACCGTCTTCAGAAGTTGATTTTCTTTGATGTTTTGTATCCTAATTTAGAAATTAAAACATATGTAATAACAATCCAGTTATATGTATTGGTTTAGTCCTCAAATATTTTCCATTCTATTTTTATCTYCAGACATATGTTTCAATACATATGTTAATGAGGAAGCTTACTTCTGCATTGTAAAACTAAAACTTTTGAAACAAAGGTGAATAAAAGTGTGTATATAGTTACATAATTAAGCTTCAGCTAACATTTGAAAAAGGCTTTAAAACCAGTTTTCAAACATCTACTGCCGAGGGTTTTAGGAAAAAATTGTGTAGAGATTTATGTAATTGAGCCCCAAGCATAGTACATAGTAATTTTTTTTCAAAAAAATTAGAATATGAGATTGAGATAGAACTCAGGGGTAGAGCACTTGCCTAACATATGGGAGGCTCTAGAGTTGATTCCTAGCACTGCAGGAAAAAGTAAAATAAAATAAAATAGTAGGCCTTACTATTAAATATGATCAATACAGTATTTTAATTCACTATGACATTATACTTAAATGTTAAACATATATTATTATGTATTAAGTGAGTAAGGAATATGAAGAGCCTTTTGTATCTTTTTGTAAGTTAAAAATTCTATAAAAATGTTACCCTGAAAAAGTAAAATTTTTGTAATGTTATTTGTCAACTTTCTCTGATTTTATTTTCTGTACAAAAAGTCCATTTCCAAAGATAAGAACTATTGTTTTTAGCATAAAAGAAACAGTAGGGGCAAATGGAAAATTCATGCAGTATTTTAAGATAAAATGCTTTTATATACTTTGAATTATAAACCATATGTTGCATAAACTTTATCTTTTTATATTTGTGTCTTGCTTTTCTTATAGAAATTATATGATCCTTACTGAGAAATTTTGATAGGAAAGTCTCAAGTTTTTATTTGTAACTGGCAAAAGATAATTGTATATATTTATGGTACACAGTGTGATATTTTGAGACACACACACACGCACACACAAACACGATTAATTAGCTTACCCAACTGCTCAAACATATACCATTACTTTGTGGTAAGAACATTCAAAACATTCATATTGGAGAACATGAGGCAGATTCAAAGTTCCAGTTCGTTCTTCATATCAAATTGACAAATGGGAATTCTTGAACATTACAATAAAGTACAGTTAGCATTTTTGGTGCCAGAGTAGTTCTCAAACTATTATGGGTTTATGATTAACTTGGTTTTTATTTAATAGACTTCTTAGTCTGTGTAGATAAACATAATAAAAGTTTCAGGTCATTTACTCTATTAGGATCATTCTAGTTCGTTTTACCCCAGTTCTAAACAGCAYAGCTACTGTGGATTTTTGGAAACCCTATGGATTTCACCACCTCATTCAAAAACTCTCCATCTTTTTTATTTTTTATTTTTTGTACAGTGTCAAAACTTGATCCAGTCCTTTTTACAAATGGTCCTTTGTCTACGTGCAAAAGACCATTCACACAGATGAAGTGCTGGGATTTGCCCTCATTGCAATAAATCAGAAGTGATGTGGCTGATATGATCATGCAGGTTGTACTCAGCCCAGAACCTGGGCTTGAATCTGATCTTCTAAGGACCAGAAAAGAAGAGCACTGATTGATTTCTTTCATGCTGACTTAAACACTGGAAAGTAATAACCTTGAGCAAAATTAGATTCTCAGTTCTGCACAGAACCTCACAATGCTCTTGCTAAATGTTACTCATGTCAATGTAATCTTCCTTGCAGCTGGCTGAAGAGCTTCAGAACAAGCCATTAAACAGTGAGATCAGAGAGCTGTTGAAACTACTGTCAAAACCCAATGTGAAGGTGAGGACATGTTACTCCTGTAATAAATACCTTCTGAAAGGGCCACTTTCTGAGTCTTCAGATGAATTGTGTTTCAGGCATCAATTTTCAACTCAATGTATTTTCAAATAGTACACATATTTTATTAACCCGAATCCTAGTAAGGTAAAAGAATTATAATGTTGTGACAAGTACTACCTAGTACTTTAACTGGGAAACTCAGAATTTAAGTTGGGTTAATATAGTGCAGCTTCAAGGTCGTTTTCCTTTACAATGAAATTAAGAATACAAAATACAGAACCACAGTGATTTTGTTTAGGTTTATTTAACTTGGCCAGTTAATGATTATTTTAATATATTTGACAAATATCTCTATTTTTCTGTAGAATTATTTTGGTACTCTTCTCTCCCCCTTCAACTGCCTCATTTTCTATCCTTGTACTAATTCATGTTTCAAAATATCATACCATTTTATAGAATAGAGCAGTTGTCCAGTGTCAAATATCTCTTAAAATATTGATARACTTCAAATTTTTTTGAAAAATTGTCCTGCCTGCTTCCTCAGAGTTTATTATTCATTCACTTATTTATTTATTTTCTGAATGTGATTAGTTCTGAGAAGGCATTTCACAATTGTCTTGCTCTTATTCTAAGGTTATCAATACATAAAATCCTRTAATGTATACATTGGGAATTTGAAACCACTGCAAGCTATGTGTAAAATGGTTTCCATGAGTCACAATTACATATGAATTTTATATGTAATTTATCATCATAAGATCAGTTGTCTTATGATGAATACTGGTAAGAATAGAGTGTTGAATGAAAACTTATGTTCAGGTACAAAACTGTTTTTTGCCTTCTTGGAGAAATATCCTTTGAAATTGTGCTGTATTTGGTTTTAAAATTTATATTTTTAAAACGTGAGGGTAATTGATTTCTAATGGTTTAGGGGTCTAATTAAATTTTATTTCTAAAAGAACAAAGATCAAATTAGAACAGAAAAGTTGCTTAATATTAAAAAGAAAGGGTGCCACATGGTTAGGCACTCCAAGAAGGAGATTTGTAGAGACCACTGTCAAGATTTCTTTAAATCTTGAGATTTAAAGCTGTGTTTAGTATCAACTGTATGTAAAAAGTTAGTATCAACCACAGCAGGATGAGGTGAGCCATGAGAAGCTTGTCAAATCCCTTTCTGAGATTATTAACTTGGTTCAACGACATTAGAAACTAAAGAGGAATGTTTCAGATTTTTTAAAAAGTGACTTTGGTATTCTACTCAATGGTGTTTGAAATGGAATGGCTAAAAATAGATTATACAAGAGGTAGGCTGGCATTTGGTTTAAAATGGAGGTATGACTTAGATGGTATTATGAAGATCCATTTGATAAAATTTAATAATTGGTTAAATTTCATTGTATGGAATGTATTTTATATGCATTATGTTGTTTATTTTTTCATATTTTATAGTGTGACTATAGAATGGATGAGAGGTCAGTGTAAAAGATGTATATTAAAGAAATATGAGTAGAAAGCAGATGATATATCAGACACATGGTGTTTCAGTTGGCATTGACAATCCGTGGTTAGCCCGTCTTGGGAAGAACATATCTTTCTTCCATTTTTCACCTAACATATAATACAGCTTTCCTTGAAGTCATTTGTATTAACTGCCATCATTTTGAATGTCACCTATAAGTGATTCTTTAAAAAGCTCAGCCCTAAAATACATGTTGGACTTTTTCAGAATATAATCAGTCAATTCTTTTGGTTCTAGGAATTAAATTAAAAAAATTTGCTTTATTTTCCCTCTTTTAGAACAAAGCAAGGTGTAGTAGAATATGTTATCTATTCATGGGCTATTAGTTGAACTGACAGTTGAAATATGAAATATGTAATTCTGGTGTGTTAATTTGAGTGTTGTCTGTCATTTTTAGCAGATAAAAAATTATTTACTGTTTAGATGGTTATTCTATTTTAAATATTTTATTCATAGTAACTGAAAGAAAACCTGACATATGCTTACCAAGTAATATGACCTTTTTTAAATATTCTTATTTGTAGATGGACACAATACCTTTATTTTATTTATTTATTTTTATGTGGTACTGAGGATCGAACCCAGTACCTCACATGTGCGAGGCAAGCACTCCACCACCGAGCCCCTAGCCCCAGCCCTAATATGACTTTTTTTAAAAAAACATTTAGGTACAAACAACCAGATATGCAGCCACTACAGAAAAACAATATGTGTATTCCTCAGATTTGCTAATAACTCTTTTCAAAAATCGTTTGAACTTTTCTTTGGTGATTTGTAAATGTTGCTAGAAATAGATATTTTTTCAGATATTTATTCAGTGCCTACTGTGTGCCAGGCCCTCTGGAGATACGATTTGTAGTAAATAGATTAATGAAGGCATAGGAGAAATATTGGGTTTTAAAAAAGGGAGGACAAATGGAAATGATGTGAAACATATAGGATTGGTGCTAAATCCAAACTTTGGTTGAGGAAAACTGTAGAGGAAGGCCTGAAGGTCGAATACGGGGTAACTAGAACAGAACGGGGCATGTGGAATGGGTCGTTGGCAGAGTGTGAAGAATAAAGGTTTTAGTCAAATGCATARTATGTGAAGTCTCTTAAAGTTCAGCATGACTGCACAGTAGCCTGTGAAAGAGGACAGGGCAAGAGTTTGGAGCAGGAAGTCAAGCCTTTTGAGTTGGGCTTGTCCCACAGACTCTGGCTTATACCTGTAGTTAAGGATTATTATTAATAGCTCTTCTTTTACTTTCAGTTGCTTCCTTATTTATATGTTTTATTATGGCCACCCTAATTTTGAACATGATAAGTTTGGATTTCATCCGAAGTGTAGTGGAGAGTCATTGAAAGGACTTAAATAGGGCAGTGACACAGTCACTCCATGCGTAGAATATGGAGCAGTTTTGAGGGATGAAGGGTGGATAGAATGGAATACTGCAATCAAGGAAGGTCAGTTGGGAGTCTGTGGAAATAATGGAAGGGGAATATGATTGTGGCCCTGATGAAGGAAATGGGGGACAGGTCATTTTGAGGGATAACTTTAACACGTGATATTTGGGGGAGGAAATAGAAAAGAAAAATCCCCACTAGAATGGATTCCAAATAGGAAAAAGCCTGAAGTATAAAAAGAAATTGGACCATGTGCTGGGCATGGTGGCGCATGCCTGTAATCCCAGCGGCTTGRGAGGCTGAAACAGCAGGATCAAGGGTTCAAAACCAGCCTCAGCAATGGCGAGGCACTAAGCAACTCAATGAGACCTTGTCTCTAAATAAAATACAAAATAGGGCTGGGGATGTGGCTTAGTAGTTGAGTGCCCCTGAGTTCAATCCCCAGCACCCCCTCCCATCCCCGGCCAAAAAAAAAAAAAAAAGTAGACCATGAGATATTAGCTCAGAGGTAGAGCTCTTGCCCAGCATGTGTAAGACCCTAGGTTTGATCCCTAGTACTGCAAAAAGAAGAAATTTGCAACAAAACAACATCAACAACAAAAAGATTATTTGATCATGGGATAGAGAAGTGTTCACAAGAATAGAGACTGACAGACACAGACAGAAACATATACACATGCTCATACCCATAGGAGTTTTTAAAAATCCCTGAATGAGTTTAGAAGGAGTACTTTATACAAATGATTTATGATGTTTGTCATTAGTAAAATGTGAAACTTTAATTTTACCTTTTAAAAATTTACTTGATAAAGACAAAAACAAACATATATTCTTTTTTGATGATACATAATTGTGTTTTTAATTCAAACTGGACAAAGTTCAGAAGCCACTCTTCTCATTGCTTTTAGTGAAGATTAATATCTCTTGATATGCATAATCACTTTTTCTTCTGTGAATTAGATGTTCATATACCTTTGGGGAATAACTGTCCTTAGCTGGCTGTATTACTTTTCCATTCTTTCTAAATATCAATATTAAATGTACATTTTTCCACATAAATGTGATCATAGAATATACTACTTAACTGTGGGTTTGTTTGGTTTTAACAGTTGGGTATTTTGTGAACTTCTCTTGGGATTAATATAATTATCTCCTTAATTCATCACTTATAAGTGGGTCTTTCTGTCATTTCTGTATTTCTGTTACTTAAAAAACACTATGATATACATTATTTGTATATTATAGAATTTTTTATTTTSGTACCAGGGACTGAATTCAGGGACTTTCAACATTGAGCCACATCCCCAGCCCTATTTTGTACTTTATTTAGAGTCAGGGTCTCAATGAGTTGTTTAGTGTCTTGCTATTTCTGAGGCTGGCTTTGAACTATTGATCCTCCTGCCTCACCCTCCCAAGCTGCTAGGATTATAGGTGTGTGCCACTGCACCTGGCTGTATTACAGAATTTTATGGAATGTTGGATAAAAATATATTTTTATCATGTCAGTAAATTGTTGTACATTCATATTTTCACATTTAAAAATTTTGGTGGTTATTGCTAGCTTGTTCTTTTTTGAAGGGGGTTACTTGGGATTGAACTCAGGGGAACACAACCACTGAGCCACATACCCAGCCCCATTTTGTATTTTATTTAGAGACAGGGTCTCACTGAGTTGCTAAGCACCTCACCTTTGCTGAGGCTGCCAACTTGTTCTTGAGACAGATTCTCCCAATATACAGTATAGTAGTGCATGAAAAGATCAATTTCCCTAGGCAATTTTAATTTATATGCAATTAATCACATATGCCATGTTCAATTAAAGTTCTTTTTTGAGCTTCATTAATTGATCATCACTAGAATATAAGCTGCATAAGCACAGGGGTAAAAAGTTCTGGTCATGTAGCAAAATTTCAGGTAAGTATTGTAGGATCATTTGATAATGATCACTGAAAATCTTGTATTTTCTTCATGGGAGTATTGTAAGAATATTAACCATCATTATATATTTCTAATTTTTATTTTTAATCTTACTTGCAGTTTTCAAGACAACACAGAAATACATAGCATTCTTTTCCTTTATGACTTCTAGGCGTTG